ACTCAGGGCAGATTGTCATGTGGGCTGTCTACTCAGGGCAGATTGTCATGTGGGCTGTCTACTCAGGGCAGATTGTCATGTGGGCTGTCTACTCAGGGCAGATTGTCATGTGGGCTGTCTCCTCAGGGCAGATTGTCATGTGGGCTGTCTACTCAGGGCAGATTGTCATGTGGGCTGTCTACTCAGGGCAGATTGTCATGTGGGCTGTCTCCTCAGGGCAGATTGCCATGTGGGCTGTCTACTCAGGGCAGATTGATATGTGGGCTGTCTACTCAGGGCAGATTGTCATGTGGGCTGTCTACTCAGGGCAGATTGTCATGTGGGCTGTCTCCTCAGGGCAGATTGTCATGTGGGCTGTCTACTCAGGGCAGATTGTCATGTGGGCTGTCTCCTCAGGGCAGATTGTCGTGTGGGCTGTCTGCTCAGGGCAGATTGTCATGTGGGCTGTCTGCTCAGGGCAGATTGTCATGTGGGCTGTCTGCTCAGGGCAGATTGTCATGTGGGCTGTTTCCTCAGGGCAGATTGTCGTGTGGGCTGTCTCCTCAGGGCAGATTGTCATGTGGGCTGTTTCTGTGAATTCGCATGCCACTTGCAGGTCATCGATAGTTCCTCATAGCTTGCTCTGCACAGTTTTTTTCTTTGATCCAGCTTTTTTATTCGTAGAAGTGTAAGTAAGTTAAGCTTGCAGAATGTGCTCAAGTGTTTCAGGTCCCGTCTGATATGCACACTGTTGGGACTGTAGTCTTTATTTTATGCATGCAATGGTAGAGCAATGCGAATTCAAACCATAGACTTTCGGGTCTGAAAGCTGACATGGGTTTCCATTACTAAATGTTTAACGTTAACCTGGTGCTTGATATGTTGTGGGGGGTTTTCTTCGATATCCCTTCGATTTGTGTCTGTCTCTCTGTCTGCATGGTTGTTTATAATCAAATATACACACATCAAACACAGATATATATGCAATAAATAACGAATTTATCCATCATGTATTTTAAAGATTATTACAGCAAAACACAGATATACAGATAATTAACAAACTTATCACAGTTTGCTAGTGATACGACAAGCATAAATAAATAAAATTATTTGGTAACGTTTCATTTATATATTTGTAAAAGCCGTCGTCTTTACTGTAAACTACATGTCGGGTGATCGACTCATTACATCTGTAACTCTACCCATTATATCTGTATCTTTACCCATTTCATCTGTAACTCTACCCATTACATCTGTAACACTGCTCATTAAATTAGCAACTCTGCTCATTAAATTAGTAACGCCAATAATTCATTCAGAAAGCTGCTTGATTTCATCAATATACTCTGTTAGTTAGTCTCTCACCGGAACCTACTAATCAAATACCTTTCTTAAACGTTTGTGTATCCTAGACAAAGCATTAAGGTCTACTGTGTTCGTAAATTGTTGCTGTGACTGTTCTTCGACATATGCTTCGTTAATATACATTTCTGTAACCTATGGTGCCATTTCAATGGTTGGAAATGAATTCTGTCCGTATTCCATAGCTGTGGATTTCAAGCTGTACGATAGACATGGCCAATACGACACATTTGGAGGGGTGGGGCGTGGGGGGGGGGGAGGGGGAGAGACGTGCCTAGTTGACCATGTTCTTAGTGCACTTGTATCCATGGCGAGGCGCACACGCCAGTGGAAGTGACAGGTTCAATTTCCAGCACGGTAACTATAGCTTTCGATTTTTATGTTGTCTAATGTGTTCTTCTATCTTTATACTTCTTTCTATGAGTGCTGATGAATACACTTTCTGTTACTTGATCAATTCCTCATATTTACATCAGTAACTTGCCTCCTAACACCAGCCCCTCCATTCATTAGTGTAGTCCATGTAACGGCAGCTAGCCCTTCTGTGTCAATAAACTGAACAATATAGGATAAAACACCATGTAACGACTTGACACTATAGTACAATCATCTTCAATCAGCGAGCCCATTGCAGAACGTCGCTCTCGTCACGGCATGCTTTTAAGTCTCTCTTTCTCTTGCCAGTTCTCCAGCCCTATGTGCTTTCATAGCAAATGCATCTTCAGTGTCTTGTATCCACATTCGCGAAGGTCGGCCTCTGCATTGTTTTAAGGAAACTGTATCCACTATCGCAATTCTCTCCAGGTCACCGTGACGTTTAGCATGACCAAAACACCTTAGCTTATGGATGCTTTTTATGAGCCAATTCTCCTTGATGCCCAAAATCAGCTAGGATGTCGACGTTATTACGAGTGGTTTAAAAAGGGGGAAGGGAATCGGGCAATTTCTACACCAATGGCGATTCGGGAAAACGATGTTAGACATGTTTTTATAGACCAATCGGTATTCGAAAGGTGGTGTATTCAACACCACACCGGCCGCTTTTACCCGGATATTACCTTACTACAGTTGTAAATGAATGTATTATACCAGTTAGTTAGTTGCGTATCCTTTACAGTACGTTGCAGAACCAACCCTAACAGCCCCTGGCTGTTGTGTGGTTTCTCTAGGCAATTTACATCCAGTAGTTTGCCATTGCTTTTTTTGACGGTCGGCTTTCTTGATACCACTGTCGAAACCAACGCAAAGCACATTGTCCGCAGCTGGGATCGAACCTGGCATCCCGGCATTACGAAGCGAAGCGTTCGCATCGACTTAGCCACAGAGCCAACATTATACCAATAACTCCATTCATTATAAAAGTAATGGATTCAATAACATCAGTACCTTGGTTCATGACAAAAGTAACTCCATTAAATTATTTGCATTAGAGTCGTGCGTGCCGCCACCGTTAAAACATAGGGGGCGGGGGGGGGGTGCAAAAACCCCTTGTGCTAATAATTTCATGTGGTCGAGGAAAGGGGCTCGCGCCTTGTTTAATTTCACAATAATAATAATAATAATAATAATAATAATAATAATAATAATAATAGTAATTCCTAATGTTATTACTGGGTTATTAGCTTTAATTAACCCTTTGAGACCCCTACACCTAAAACATTATTAGGGGAATAGGAACGGGGCTCGAGGGGGGCTTAGGCTCTATTTAAATGCGCAATAATAATAAATTGTTATTATTATTAATAATATTATTATTACTGTTAAACACCGAACGGCTGTATATATATGTGTGTGTGTGTGATATAATATAGAATGTATACAGATATGCTTAAAAGAACGTCTATACATGGAGGGGTGCGTGGGGGTTCGGACTGCTCCCTTAACATTATTGGGGGCTAGAGGCCTGAGGGTGTCTGAGCCTTCATTGTCGGGGGCCTAATTTCTAGGTATATTATTATTATTATTATTATTATTATTATTATTATTATATATTATTATTACTATTTTAATATATTCATTGATACTATTAGCTCGTTTTTGGTCATTTGACTTTCGCGGCGGCCGGGTTTAACTCATTACTACTATTAATATTATAATATACTCATTGATACATATTCCTTCTCATCTCATCTCGTCTTGATTCTCTTGTACTTTGCCGTGTCGAGGTAAAGTGCAGGAAAGCGCCAATTTGTGCGCTTCGTAAATGGGAATTCCCAGAGACTCTGTTATTGCCTCTGTCCATCACTTACGCGGGCGGCCTCTGCTTCGCTTCCCGGCTGGTCTGTACATCATTGCTTGCTGTGGTATACTTTCAGTTAGCATTGAAGTTACATGGATAAACCATGTCATTTGTTGTTTTCTAATAAAATCAAGAGCTGCTGCTACCACAACCTTCCTTCTGATTTCATCGTTTCTAATAGACTCCTTGTTGGGTGTAAATATGAATCAGAGTAATCTGGAATCCCTGACTAAACGTAAGGTATACAAACATATGTTATATGTTGATAAGCTTGGTTCTTCTCCTACAGTATTACGAACCCTTGAAGTCCATTGCTGCAGATGTTACTTGCCTCCATGCATCAGTGTTACTGACATTCTCTTTCCAGTTGCCTACTCCAAGTGGGGGCTGAATGATCTCGAGGTATTGCATCCGTCTGGATATGCTGGAGGTCACGGGTTCAAACCCCAGTGAAGGCTGGGATTTTTGATGCGGTAGTAAGTTCGGATGCCCGTGTGTATTGTTGCGCACGTTAAAAAAAATACCTTAGGCGGTTTGAAATCGAAAAAGCGTAGCTTAACGGCGCTGCCCGGGCAAAATGTTGAGTTAAATATCTACCCAAAGTATTTCAGGATCCTCGCCGGTGCTACAGAGTCTGTGCACTGTGCTGAGCTTTTTCTGGCTCAAACTTGAGTTAGAAGAAGTACGAAGCACTGATAAGTTACTACCTGTGCGTCATGATGTTGATCCGTTGTTAAAACCTCAAACTTGGCATATTCTCTATTCCCTCCCCTACTTTTTTTTTTTTTTTAACCCAGAAACCATGAGTTGTAAACAATTTGGCTTACTATGGACCAACCCTTCGGCATATGATGACAGTAATTGGGAGAAATGTGATTTAAAACAGGAGTTCGTCACCCGGCGTCCTTTATTTGATGCAAGTAATTGCTTCTAAAACGCTGAGAAATTTCTCTAACGCTCAATTCTCCGATGTTTTATATGTTTGATGGGTCCACAGATTTATCGTATGTTTAACAGTACACATGCATTATGTACAGTCCTTATATGGTGCTTTGTTTAGGACAGAACGACTAAAATCAGATGAAGATGCCAAATGAACTCAACGTTGAAGATTCCGTAACGCCATTTTTGACAGTTGGCGCTGCAGTTCAATGTTTTAAAACAATGAAGTCAAATTCTGGAGATGGATGGAGAAAAGCACACAAACAACCCACATGATGTGACTGCACGAATTATTTGAATGAATTACCAGCCACTTTATGATGCGTGCTGAAGCTAGAGTAAAATCGTCACATCGATAAGTAACATTGCCAATTCGTAGGCAATAGTTTCCATCTCTTCTCCCAGGAAATAAGTTTGAAAAACTCGACAAGTAATATGACTTCAATAGAAAATAAGATCGTAAATACTAGTACATGTCTTAAAGTGCTTCAAGACTTCGTGGATTCGTCAGAAGCTCTCTGACCAAACGCCACACATGCTTTGCCACGTTGTCCATAGCCGCTGCTGATTTTCCTTTGAAGAGGTCTACAGACGGGAGGAAGTACTGCGGGCAGCGGCGATTCTGTAGACAGGATATCAGTTGGAGAAGGATTCCATTGATTCGGTCGCCTATACACGTATCATCCCATTCAATCTCCCGAGGATGCTTCTCACACTCGTAGAGTAGCAGTGTTTTCATGTGGTAATTCTGAACTGGTTGACCAGGGATATCAAGATGGCGATCTCGAAGCGCCTTGAGGATGCTTAAACATCGCCTTCGGCAGCCTCCGTACAATAATCTATCTTCGGCGTAACGAAACGACATCACCCAAGCGTCGCCTTCTGCAGCAGACTGTTTGTCTTTCATATATATACTCTCTTTGGATAGCAGATCAAATCCTTCCGTCTTCACCTCGGCCACCAAGTTTGGGTTCGGCCACGACACATGAGGAACCGGCCAATGGGCTGCGGATCGACACCAGATCCCGCCACACCTAAACGCAGGTGTAATCTGCACTATATACCTTTCTTTGATCCTCAGTCTCACCTCGGTAGTATCAGGAATCATTTTGACTACATCTCGATAACTGCATTTATCCACCGCTTGCGCCACTAACGTCTGAAACCTGGATCTGATCTTCCGGGCACTTAGATAACCGGACGCTGTGATGAATTCCACCCAGAGTGACATTGACCGCTTGCGACCATCAGATAACTTGAGAACCGCGCAGCCTGGTATGGTTCCGTCGTCCACGAAGTTGAAGACTCCCATCTGGTTGAGGTAGAGAACCACCTCGAATTCAGTCGGGGAGATAACCTCGACACCCTCGTACCTCATGTTGACTTCAGTCAGAGAGCTGTGGAAGAGTTTTGAACGTGTTTTTACAATCATCGTGGCAATGTGTCAAAGCAGAGCAAAGTAAAATTGGGTAAACTAAAGCAAACGACCTTTTTTGTACGCGGCTATCTGGCCTTTTTATGTAAGTGACTAACTGGCCTTTTTGTGTAAGTGGCTATCTGGCTTTTTCAGTTACAGTTACGATGTGTGTGTGTCGTGTTCTCTAACCAGCGGAAAGCTGCAGTGACCGCCTCCACCTCCATTCTTAAGCTGGATGTTGTGGTATCATTTGCTAGGCTCTCCTTCACCAAACGTCGACCTTTAACTTTTGCTAAGAAACCCCAAGCACTTCTTTTGCCTCTTGACACCGAACCGTCTGTGTAAATTATCAAATCTTCTGAGCGAGCATTATCTTGAATTAATTGCTGAATTTCCACCTCTGTGGCACCTGCTGGCTAGTCTCTGCATAACCGGCTCAGTGTGATTATGACCCTACACAAGTCTGACTGTTCAGGTGGCACTTTGATCCACTCCTTTCCTAGCCTAATATTTTCAGGGATTCAAACCTGTCTGATTGTGTCTTCTGCCTGAGCTATCCATGACTTCCCTGTTATCAGCTACTGACCCTTAATTGCACCCAGAGCTTCGTGCAAAGAGTAGTCTGTGTCTGCAGCTACCCTGAGATATGACTTCGCCTGCAGCACCTTGTGCCTACCTGCAACAGTCGGCAAACCAAGGATTGCTAATCCTGGAGGAATGTGCAGTCTTGGGTCTCGGTATATTCGAGGTCACAACCACTGGCGTACCTATGGCAGGACAGGCAGGGCCGATGCCCTGTACGTCACTTGGAAGGAGGGAGGGTGGGGGAAACGTGGGGATGGGGAGGGGGTGGGGGGGGGGAGGGCGGGCGTCGCAAAGAACTCAATTTTCTAAGTGTCAGCGTCTTATCTGGAGAAATCTCAAGGAATTGTATTTTCTTGAAGGGCGCCACTCTAACATACCAGAATTACTCACCCTTGATCAGCACCACTTACAATAATTTTTTTTTTTATTATTTAAATTTCGTTCCGTAGTCTGGTCAAACTCATAATTTATGTACGTTTCCTAAGACGAACAAATATCATTTGTGGAGTATATCAAATCTACTACTAGAGAAAGAAAGATTCTGTTGATAAAAAGCTCAGAGATGAGCAGGCAGGTTTTAGGCCAAGCAGAGTCTGTACTGACCAGACAACCATGTTATTTACAGCAAAGAATTGAATTGAATTCACCACTTCACATTGGATTCATAGACTGTTAAAAAATCTTTCTATAGCATTGCAATGAAATATTTCTGGAAAATAATGGGACTGTGGAATCCCATAGAAAGATATTAACTTAGTAAAGGCAACATATAAAAACAAGGAAAAACTAACAGATTCATTCAAAATAAAAACAAGAATGCGACAGGGGTGTCTTTTAACGCCTCTCCTATTTTTACTGGTAATAGACTGGATTATGACAACAGTAACTGCTAACACCAATAATGGAATTCAGTGGACCCCTACAAAACAGCTTGATGATATGGACTTCGCTGATGATATTTCTCTTCTGTCCCGTTCAAGGAATCAGATGCAAGATAAATTAAATATACTTGATGCGAGATCAAAGCAGCTTGGTCTGAAAATCCATAAAGGAAAGACAAAGATAATAAGGATAAATCTGGCAAATAGTAATGTGGTTTCACCAAATGGCACCCCACTCCAAGACGCGGAGTCGTAAACATATTTGGGTAGTAATTTATTGTAAAATGGTGGAGCTGATAAAGATGTTAAAATACTCATACAAATGGAAGAGGGGCTTTCATAGAACTATAAAATTTGTGGAGGTAACAAAAAAAAAAAAATAAACTAATATTAAAATTGTTTAATTCTAATGTCAAATCAGTGCTGATGTGTAACGAGCGGAGACATGGAAAACAAGCAAGTCAGTAACCAATAAACTACATTCTTTAACTGGTGCCTGCGCAGAGAGAATAGAGGGAATAATATGGTATGATAGAATCACTAATGTAGAGTTTTAGGAGAGAACTAAGCTAGTTCCACTGGACCAAGAGGTGAAGAAAGAACGCTGGCGTTGGATAGGACAACACTGAGAAAACTTGAGAACAATGTAACTAGAACGCCACTGGAACCCACAGAAGAATATAAAAAAAAAAAAATAGGATTTAAAAAAAAAGCACGCAGAATTGAGCTAGAGAGTGTAGTTAAAAAGATGGGGATGACTTGGGGTAGAGAACTGTATTTAATAACAAAGGATTGAACGACTTTGCATAAATTGGTTGAGAGGGCCTATGCCTCACTGAGGGATAGAAGGCTGAAAAAGAAGACTAGAGAAACAAGAACGGTCAACGCCTTAAATTTCTTTATCAAAGTACGCTTACATACTATCGGCTACTATTGTCTGAATTTGTTCGCATCACGGGTTTTACCAGCAGGATGAAAGATTTGGTGACATTTGTTTCTGATTATCATACATCGGCTACTATTGTCTGAATTTGTCCGCATCACGGGTTTTACCAGCAGGATGAAAGATTTGGTGACATTTGTTTCTGGTTATCATACATCGGCTACTATTGTCTGAATTTGTCCGCATCACGGGTTTTACCAGCAGGATGAAAGATTTGGTGACATTTGTTTCTGATTATCATACATCGGCTACTATTGTCTGAATGTGTCCGCATCACGGGTTTTACTAGCAGGATGAAAGATTTGGTGACATTTGTTTCTGGTTATCATACATCGGCTACTATTGTCTGAATTTGTCCGCATCACGGGTTTTACCAGCAGGATGAAAGATTTGGTGACATTTGTTTCTGGTTATCATACATCGGCTACTATTGTCTGAATTTGTCCGCATCACGGGTTTTACCAGCAGGATAAAAGATTTGGTGACATTTGTTTCTGGTTATCATACATCGGCGACTATTGTCTGAATTTGTTCGCATCACGGGTTTTACCAGCAGGATGAAAGATTTGGTGACATTTGTTTCTGATTATTATACATCGGCTACTATTGTCTGAATTTGTTCGCATCACGGGTTTTACCAGCAGGATGAAAGATTTGGTGACATTTGTTTCTGGTTATTATACATCGGCGACTATTGTCTGAATTTGTTCGCATCACGGGTTTTACCAGCAGGATGAAAGATTTGGTGACATTTGTTTCTGGTTATTATACATCGGCGACTATTGTCTGAATTTGTTCGCATCACGGGTTTTACCAGCAGGATGAAAGATTTGGTGACATTTGTTTCTGGTTATTATACATCAGCTACTATTGTCTGAATTTGTTCGCATCCCGGGTTTTACCAGCAGGATGAAAGATTTGGTGACATTTGTTTCTGATGATTATTGTTGACTTTTGGATTTTTTCCTTTCCTTATATCATCATCATCATTAATTCTCTTTATGCCTCGTGGCACAAGATGCTTCAGAGAGGACCTTCTATGCTTTTCTGTTCTCGGTGCAGTTTTCTATGTCAGAGATGCCTTTATATGAAAATATGTTTTTTGTACGCTATTTTATGAGCTGAAAGGACTATTTTATTAAGTAATGCTACTCCAGCCTCGCTGGCCAGTTAAAACTGCCAGTTTTGGCCTTCATGCAATAATTTGCCCAACCCAGATGAAAACTGTAAATTGTCTCTTTCTGATGTGAACAATCAGTCTTCCTCGTTTGTTAATTTATTTTAAAACACAGTAACGCAGAAAGCGTAGTAGTGAATTTTGTAGAGCTGATCGGAACAGCTTGTGAGGTGGGAGATGGAACATGATTGTACTGGATGATCCCAGGGCATTTAGTGGACTGATGCCCCTGTACCTGGGACTACAGGTAGGTTGTCAGGTGACATGAGAATTTACAAGACATTGGGAACAAGACTGACTGCTTCTGTCTCCTGTTGTTGTTGCTTGGAGGTAGAGGATGGCTTGGTAACCAGGAGACCCACTAGACTAGACTGTCTGTGCCTTGCGATCGTGTAACGAGGTTTTCTGTGTGCGGTGTGCGTGTGCGCTTGTGTATGTGCGCGCGCGCCTGTGTGCGTACGTGAAAATGTTCTTGCTTCACAAGCAGTGAAATAATATTATTTGCACATATTCGTATTGCCATTATTTTATGTATTTATGTTATGTGTTTGTTTTAAATAAGTATTCACTACTCAAGGGTGCCGGTACAAAGTAAATAATAAACATGCCGGGGGGGGGGGGCGCACCGCACCCACGCCCTACATATTTTCTAGGCAACAGATAGGTCTCACCCCTCCATTTCTAGTTGCGTGACTCGAACTGATGCGAAATAGAAATTAAAATCAAACATTTATATATAATACTTATTCTTCTTTTTCTTGTTTTTTAAGTCCATGCTGTGTGGCGTTTGTAGTCATCTCTATCCATAACCTTCTGTCTCATGTACTTTCATTCAACTCTGACACAGATGATCTTCAATGCCTTGATGTCAAACTGCCCATCATCTGTTTTCTCGGTCTCACTCTGCCTCTCTTTCCCTCCAACTTTCCTACCATCACGATGTACCCTAATTTTCTCCTTCTCATCACCTGGCCATAATATGTTGATTGTCTCTTTCCGATGTTGGCAATCAGTTCTTTTCGTGAGCCAGTTTCTTTCAAGCCGTCTTCGTTATTCTTTTTATCTGTCCAATATATTCTCATAATTCGTCTGTAAAACCACATCCCCGCAGCTTCTAAATACGTTTTTACTAATTTACTAAGTGTCCATGATTGACATCCGTAGATCAAAACAGGATTTATATAAATTTTAAGAATTCTCTTTCTCGTCTCAATGGACAAAGACAGATTGCGTAAAATATTCTTCATTTAGTAAAATGTTACATTTGCTTGAGCTATTCGACATTTAACTTCCTTGATACATCTTCCATCTGATGTTATCAGGGTACCAAAGTATATAAACATATCAGCTTGTCTGAGGTTTGTCCAATTTACTTTGATGCTGCATTTTGCAGGCTCAGTTTTCTTTGTAATTAACATTACTTCTGTTTTTCTGCTGTTCAAACGAAGGCGTTTGTTTTCACTTTCCGTTACCATTATTTCCATCATTTCTTGCAGTTTCATTTTCAGCGATCGAATCTATATCATCATCATATCGCAGGTTGTTAACAATATGCCCACCAACCACTGTTCTTGGTATATAAAATGTATGGATATAGTTATTATTTCACTGTACAAAGGGAATAAATTGGGCGATAGTACACATCACCGTCTAACGCCTTGTTTACTGCTTTGAAAAGTTCACACTTGGTTGTAAATCCTAATGGCTGTCTATTGTTGCCGGTGTGTGTGTGTGTTTTTTAATTTTTTTTTATTATTATTCTCAGATCTTTATCATCAATGTTAAAAGTTTCCAAAATGCTAATAGTTTCTCCGTTTTACTTTATCAAAGGTTTCAAGTGCACTACTCGTCTCCAATTTCTGGTTTATTTTGCACCTTATTCTTCTCATGATAATTCTCATTAATCTTTTAGTCTGAGTTGAGTTGAGTCAAGAATTGGCATCACAGCCCTCCGGGTATTCCCATGCGTGCTCCGTTCTCATCTTCAGCAGCCAGCACAGAGTTCCTGACTGAGTCACATTTTTAAAACTAATTGTTCGATGTTTTACACACTCCACTGCACCAGGTGTTTTGGGTAACGGTATGAAAAAAGATTTCAAAAGCTCATCTGGTACGTGTCCACTGTTATCAATTTCACTGAAAAATTGTGTCAGAACTTCTAAACCCAGTTCATCAACAGCTTTAAATTCTTTAATTGTGATGTTATCTGGCCCTGGAGATTTGCATGTATTCATGTGGTTTATAGCATCTCCTGCTCTCAGTATTGGTGGTCCTTCTCAACACTTCTGACTCTCTATGTCCGGTCTGCTGTTATCCTTGTATAGCTCTTTTATACACTCTGTTCATCTTGTAATAATTACCTTTTCTTTGTCCAATAATATTTCACTTTCTTTTATTTTCAAGCAACTACTTGTATATTTTCTAAAAACCTGACAGTTTCTGTTTTCTTTTATATATGTCTTGTGTGATATCTCTTTGTTCCTCAATTTCTTTGCACTTATTGCATGTAATACAGTTACTATCATTTCAAGTTTATTATTGTATTTTTGATATTCAACAGATTATCCTTATTATTATTATTATTATTATTATTATTATTATTATTATTATTATTATTATTATTATTATTATTATTATTATTATTATTATTATTATTATTATTATTATTATTATTATTATTATTATTATTATTATTATTATTATTATTATTAATACACTTTTTAAATTATCAATAATATGAAATGAATAAACATATACGTTTAAAGCGAATGTCTATAATTGTTTGGGGTGCCGCCATAGTGTAGCGGCTAAATGCTCGCCTGCGGATCCGAAAGTCCGTGGTTCGGGTCCAGGCGGAACCGGATATTTAAAAAAAAGACCTTGGCTTCCAGGTCGACCCAGGACCTAGGATCTTTCGTGGTTCATTTAAAATCCCCCATGATAATAACGTTTTCTTTTGTCTTGATCTTGTTAATTTTGTCATTAAGTCTGTCGAAAAATTCTTAGCACTCTTCATCATTTTCAGTCGCGTTACACGGGGCATATATTTGAACATACGTTGTATTTACTCAGTTGTGGCTAATCACAATAGTTTCTCGGCGATAGATAAATATCGTTTCAATCAATCAATCGATCGACCAAGTGCCGTCTCCACAGTAAAGGTTGGCTGCAACGGATGTCCAACACTCTATTGCCTTGGTTGTACTCTCAGATGGCTGTTCGTCCATCTTTTGATGTTGCTCCCCTAACCCGACTCCCACTTGTATCGTTGTCTACATCTTGCTTTCTCTTGCCTTCAAATTTGCCACGTCAATAGGTTTTTTTAAATGAGTGTATGGAGACTTAATTCGTTTTTTTTTATGTTGCTGGTGGATCGATTGTCCAGATTTACGCACAAGCTACACAACTGCCACTTTTGCCCACCACCCCAGGAGATCCTGAGCCGTTTAACCGCATTATGGTCCCCTGTGCAAATTAGAGTGCTGGGGCACCTTCGAAAACATCTCATAGAAATGAAATATGAATGGTCACTAGACATGCATAGATTTGCATGAGGCCCCTATTCTTGTGGGGCTGCCGCGGCAAGTGCCCAGGGCGCCCATGTGTTCAGACGGCACTGGTGCTCCCATTTATGTGTGTAATTCAAAATATAAACATTAATAACCAATACCATAATTTTTTTATTTTAGTGACATGAAATAAAACGTTCAGGAATATGGAACATAATGACACATTTTGCGGACCTTACTTGTCCAACATGTGTCCGGTAAACCAAACGTGAGCTTGCCAGTTAGTCTTCGAGGTAAGCAAACTGCTTTAATTATGCTACCGCAACGACTTCATATCTCACAGTACCTTTTACAAAGTCACCAATTCGTCTTGTCCCTGTCCGATAACATCCGGTAATACGTGCGGCAGGAGAAACCAACTCTGAGCCTCATGAACTCCGGTGGGCCCACTATCTGAAAACGTCTAGGAGTTCGTGGGCCGAAACATTTGTCGATGAGAGATTACTTCTACTGATGACTGGTAGACACCTGCTGTACATGCTCCCCTGTGGAGTTTTTTCTTACTTATTTATATTGATTTATATTTATATTATTATTACAGTTTTCTCCTACTTTTTGTTTGTTTAAATTGCAGAGTCTTTGTTCAGATCCTGACTAATCTTGTGCAACACATCTGCTTCTAAACTTAATAGAGATCAAACACCCAGCCTGCCTTGTTGCATTGTTGTTCTGAGGCGATTTTTTAAATATATTTTAACCAAGAAATAAATGTTCCGCTTTAAGGCTGTTGATATTTTATGTGGTGATCCCCTCCCTTCGTGCTGCCCTAAACACGCGCTTAATGTGCATAATGGTTAATCCGGTCCTGCGACTCTTATAGCAATTTCTGAAAGCCATGAGAACGATTCTTTTTTCTCCAAACTGTCTACAGCTGGAATCAAACCGTGGTAAAAGTCGAGGTTTGCACTGCGAAACCTTTATGTTACCCTCTGAGTCGGTGTTTCTCAACCTGTTTACACTGTCTCAAAGCCATGAGACCGTTTTTATTTTTTTTTTTTTTCCAAACTTTTCACATCTGAAATCAAACTCCGTTTTTTCTCCCCAAAGAAAAAAGATTTGCATTGTGAAACCTTTACAATTCCCTCCGAGTCAGTGATTTTCAACCTTTTTACACTGTCTGAAAGCCACAAGACCGTTTTGTTTATTTTCCAAACTGTCCACAGCTGAAATGAAACCCCGGTAAAATTTTGAGGTTTGCATTGTGAAACCTTTACAATTCCCTCCGAGTCAGTGATTCTCAACCTTTTTACACTGTCTGAAAGCCACAAGACCATTTTGTTTATTTTCCAAACTGTCCACAGCTGAAATGAAACCCCGGTAAAATTTTGAGGTTTGCATTGTGAAACCTTTACAATTCCCTCCGAGTCAGTGATTCTCAACCTTTTTACACTGTCTGAAAGCCACAAGACCATTTTGTTTATTTTCCAAACTGTCCACAGCTGAAATGAAACCCCGGTAAAATTTTGAGGTTTGCATTGTGAAACCTTAACAATTCCCTCTAAGTCAGTGTTTCTTTTTACACTCGCGACAACCTAAATAACGGACCTTGATTCGCGGCCTACCTAATAGGTAACCAAACACAAAACAAATCTAAAGTAAAGGACCCCTTCCACTGCTTCAGGCGTATTTGGGCATATAGGGCTAGACTTACATTTTACAGACTCGGCACTTGGTGGTTGATGAGGTCAGCATCACGATGGCCGCCTTTACTTCACATAAATTTATTTGGTACCCACTCAAAACAGGGTCGACATGGGAGCCATAATCATATGTGCAAAAAGTCCAATTCCGTCAGGACTTAGAAATCAGGACCTTCTGACATGAAAGCCACCTGCAGGGAGAGAGAAAAGTAGAAAAAAAAAAAAACAGAAGGGAAATACATACTTGATGCCAAACTCACCTGATAAACCTGGGTTCTTGCACCTCTACTTCCTTGAGCACGTCTTGCACCACTTTGCACACTTCCCTGATGGTCTTACTGATGTTGCTCTTTCGCGCGTGTACCCGTTCGTTGTAGTACTTGTTGATCTGAAACAGCAGCTTCGACTGGGCCGACATCATGTCTGGGGTGGTGCCTTCTAGGAGCATGTCTGCGGGTGGCGGGTCGGGTGGCGGCGGTTGGTAGCGCCCCAGGTGAGCTTGCTTTAAGCAGTAGTAATAGTAAGCCTGTTCTTCCGTTTTTAATTTGTTGGTTTTCTGGCGCTGAATGAGGTTGTGGGGATGCTTGGTTCAAATCTGGGTGTGGTAGGTGGTGGAGCTGTTAGGTTCGAATCCAGGTAGAGCAGATGGTTGAGCAATCATAGCACTTCACTTTGATATTTAAAAAAGTAGTGCCAACTCCATTTGAACCAAAAGTACTAGCACTTTTTCAATAAAAAGTTGTTGCAGTGGGCAACGATGATATGATAAAAAGTGGTAGTACTATGCAATAATTTAGATCAATATTGCGCAATATTGTTTATCAAAAATTTAACAATATGCAAATAATTGTGATGAAAATATGTAACAGCGGGTAATAATTTTAATTAAAAGTTGTACTCTGCACTAATTGTCATCAAAAGTTCCACTACTGCGCAATAATTTTAATTAGACGTTCTACTGCAGGTAGTTTTTCAATGAATCGTATTTCTACGCAGTAATTGTGACTTCCGGTTCTTCTCGTATCTAACCCTAAATGTACACATTTATTATCAGTCTGAAAGAAATATTACGTTACATGTTAATTTTGACCAGCTGGTACACCGTGAATGGCAGCCTAAAGAGTCAAATCGTCTTTACCAACAATTATATACAACAGCCTAGCGCCAATCTTGACATATAACTGCAACACTAGTCCAGTACTGAAAATAAAAGTAACATATATCAAATAAACTTGGCTTCTCTGTTTTTGTAAAGAGTGTTGGGATATCTAGAGCACAACTATAGGCTAGTTCTTGCGTGTGTATTGTTTTTTCTCTGGCTTTCCTTTCAGCGGATCAGTACCACGTGATATCGTCAGCTGGGTACAGGGATTTGACCTTCGTTGACGTCAGGTGATTCGTTTTTATGCACAGTGCCGTAAATTCTGGAAAGAAAAAAAACCCATTTAGAAACACTGTGTTTAGCTGAATAGATCAAAACACCCTACATATTTAAAGCCACACAGTGCAACAAACAGAATGTGGAATACATTAGAAAAGACAAACTGAAAATAGGAACAGACAGACAGACAGACAGACAGACAGACAGACAGACAGACAGACAGACAGACAGACAGACAGACAGACAGACAGACAGACAGACAGACAGACAGACAGACAGACAGACAGACAGACAGACAGACAGACAGACAGACAGACAGACAGACAGACAGACAGAGTACAGACGAGACAGACAGACAGACAGACAGAACGAGACAGACAGACAGACAGACAGACAGACAGACAGACAGACAGACAGACTAGACAGACAGACAGACAGACAGACAGACAGACAGACAGACAGACAGACAGACAGACAGACAGACAGACAGACAGACAGACAGACAGACAGACAAGACAGACAGACAGATAGATAGATAGATAGATAGATAGATAGATAGATAGATAGATAGATAGATAGATAGATAGATAGATAGATAGATAGATAGATAGATAGATAGATAGATAGATAGATAGATAGATAGATAGATAGATAGATAGATAGATAGATAGATAGATAGATAGATAGATAGATAGATAGATAGATAGATAGATAGATAGATAGATAGATAGATAGATAGATAGATAGATAGATAGATAGATAGATAGATAGATAGATAGATAGATAGATAGATAGATAGATAGATAGATAGAAAGATAGATAGATAGATAGATAGATAGATAGATAGATAGATAGATAGATAGATAGATAGATAGATAGATAGATAGATAGATAGATAGATAGATAGATAGATAGATAGATAGATAGATAGATAGATAGATGAGTAGCCAAAAGGTGAGCAGGTGTTAGAAAGGTATACAGGTGGGTATGTAACCAAGTAGATGGGTAAGTAGGCGGATATTAGGTAGATTTTTGTGTAGGTAGAAGGTAGATTGTCATACAGGCACGCAAACAGGCAGGTGAATAGTTAGGCACGCTGGCAAGCAGGCAGTTAAGTAGGTAGTTATGAATAGCATGATGGAGCTACAAAAGATAGCAGTAATGAGAATTGTTGGTTTACCTTATGCTCCACTAGGAGCCCAAAAATAAGAATCGACCATTAAAGGCTAGGAAATATTTCAGCAAAAGGGCAGGCTGTCCACAGTTTCTCTGGAAAACCTTCCTCGGTATTAATGCCCTCAGAGAAATGGGAAGGATAGAGGACTTTGGTGGCAGTGAATCCACATCACTCGCCAGAATGGCAGACTTGGGAATTAAGATCGGCACAGCAAAAAACGAGACGCACACCAGACACACCAGAAGACTTGTTAATCAACATAGAACTGGGACTGTTAGCCATCGGACGTTGGGGTTCATACTGAGGGGAGGATCTAAGCACCTATGGACATATCCGGGGTGCAATGAGAATAATCCAACTAACTAACTAACTAACCTTCCTCGTTAACATATGACGTCCTCGGTGGGGGCGATAGAGATTCACTTTCGCGTGTTGTGTTCTTCTATGTTCGAAAGTTTAGATTTCTTCTGCTGATGGAAGTGTCGCTGGAAATTGTCACTTGCTTAATATTTGTCGGAAAACACTAATTCACACCTACACATACACACACACACACACACACAGAGAGAGAGAGAGAGAGAGAGAGAGAGAGAGAGGGAGAGGAGGGGGAGAGGCAGAGAGAGAGGGAGGGTAACCCATTTCCCGTTTAATGGGCTACACATTGGCATGGAGTCCCGCCTTTAATTCGGCCTTTTCAAACATTGAGCTTTTACGTAGTAATTATATTTGTATCTATGAAGCATGTTATGTTCATATAACATGTGTATGGGAGAGAGAGAGAGACCAGAGAGAGAGAGAGAGAGCGAGAGAAAGAGATGTGGGGGTGGAAACATAAGAGGAGACAACAGAATGGAGATAAAGGGTGAAGGATTGGAGTGAACAGGAGATCCCTGGGAGGGGGGATGAAAAGGAGATATAAAATAGAGAGAAAAAAGGTAAAGATATAGCAAATAAAGGAATACAATATCAAACAGAACATGGAAGGGGAGAGAGGAGCAAAAATTACCGGAACGGAGAAGAAAGTTAGAGGTTATATCAAAGAAGATAATTATAGGGATGGCAGCACTAAGGAGGACAAGTGATGAGCAAAATAACACAACAAAACAATACTTATTGTAAATCACAAACACTCGTTACCTCACAATGTTTGAATTTATTTAGATCAATATGTAATAATCCGTTCTGCAAACGATATCAACAGAAATGATAACACTGGTTCTGTTGTTATTATACTTTGTATCGCTTGACAGAAATAACACAAACAAAATATGAGGACAGATTTCTTCTAGACTCCATATAGTAGATCTCTCGATTAGTATCGTCCTCGCCAGACCTCATTCTTCAGCTTTAGTTTCCATTCAGAATGTTTGACTTAATTCTTACGAGCCTCGGGAAACTCTGGCGCCCCGACAAAACACGGAATCGTTATGGAGCTTGCTAAGGGGAAACAAGAGGTAATCCCTTAAAGCCCGCGCACCATGATGACGTCGGTCAATCTCTGCAGTTTGAAGGCGGGGTTTACACGTTGTTTTGGTTTCGCTCCGCCTACTCAGCCAATCAATACTCCGCATTGGGTGTGATCCTGAGTTCTTAGAAAATAACAGTCGTGTAGAAATATATGTACTTAACTAAGGGTTGGCCTTAGCTCCACCTACTCGAAGACGATTGTGAACTGACCCAAGGGTCGATATTCAAATCGTGGTTGAAGGCGATTATTGGCCAAGTCAGCCACTTGTTCCTGGCTATATTCAGGAGTTACTAAGCAACACAAGCGGTCGTCAATACACAGAGAAATTATAATGGGGAAATAGACAATTAGAACGTTATTATTTAAATATATGCAGATGCATAATGAAAGCTTGTCAAATATTCAAAAATTTGATATAATGAAGTGGTACATGAAAGGTTACAAACAGAGATGAAAAGAGCAAACTACAGAAAGTCTTAATTGGCGTGGAAAGCATAATTTTTACAATGTATTTTCGCCGGTTGTGATCGACACTAAAAGTAAAGGAAATAAACAGAAATCATGAACAGACAACTGTAAAACAGTAAGCTTTCAGAACACAGACGTCTCAGCCTCTTTATAAAATGCTTTTCGTCCTTCTCTAGACGGCGGCCAGGGGCCGCAATATAGGCAGGTCACATTATGGCTGTCTGAAAACAGTCCACGGTGATCCTCATCCCGCATGGTGGCACTTTGTGTCACATCGCTTGTGTGACCTGTGGGGTTAAAAATCCAATCCAATCCAGCCTCTTGTTCTTACAATAGAGACTTCCTAAAGCAATGGTTTTTAAAGTTCTCAATGTGGTCACCCCCTCCCCCCAGTTTCCCCACCCCAACTTTGAAATCAATGATTAAATAAATAAGATAAGGGCTAAAGAAAAACAAAAACTCCAAACACTAATAGGGAGAACTGTTTTGCTATCCTATTTATTATATTTTTAACGGTAGATGTACAAACTGCCTGCAAAAATAACCAACTTCTTAGCTTGTTGTTTTATAAATAGTTTTAAAAAAAATACGTTATTTATAATTAACCGGAAAGAAAAGGTTAGTATAGCAGAGTATTACAAGCACAAATGCAAAAAATTTCTCGAGGCACCTGTCTCCCTCCTTGAAACTTCTTTCAGTCCGCCTATAGGGGTGCCCCCCCCCCTCTTTTCCAGGTTGAAAAACAAAGCGCTAAAGGAACAAGTGCGTTTAGTTCAAATCAAGCGAGGTGCTCAACTATTGTTGTTTAGCTGTAGTTATAGAAAAGTAAAAACAAAATTGGTGGGTAGTTTTTTTTAGCGAAATAAGAATATATATATATATATATATATAAAGGTCATTGAATAATAATAGCATACCCCCCCCCCCCCCCCCCCCCACACACTTTTTTCCCCG